AGCTACAAATATTTGGTTTTTAATTGGTTTTTATAGGGAAATGTTTTGTATTGTTTTTAATATGCTGTGAGCCGCCCTGAGTCCCATGGGGGAGAAGGGCGGCATATAAGTCTTATTATAAATAAATAAATAAATAAATAAATAAATAAATAAATAAATAAATAAATAAATAAATAAATAAAGACTGGTAACCCTACCTATTTGTCTCTGGGAAGGCCTGTAAATAGTTCACAATTTCAAAACAGAGAAAAATAACAGCTTAAACCAGTGGTGGCGAATCTTTTAGAGACCGAGTGCCCAAACTGCAACCCAAAACCCACTTATGCATCGCCAAGTGCTGGGTGGGCGTGGTCACCGAGTGGGCATGGCCACCGAGTTGTCGGCTCGTGCTCGCTCCCTCGCTGTCCGCTCCGACTCATGCTCACTCTCAAGCTGTCTGCAGCAAATGCTGCTTCCACAGAAAGTTGCTTCTTTTATAGCCTCTCACCTATTCCCAGACTGCACATGCGCGGAGAGGAGGAGGGAGCAGCTCGGCCCAGCAATGGCTTGCGTGCCACCAGAGACGGTTCTGCGTGCCGCCTGTAGCACCCGTGCCATAGGTTTGCCACCACGGGCTTAAACAATAAATGCATTATTTAAATACAGAAAGCCTCCATTTCAAACTAATAGAGATGGCAACTGCTCTTATCTGAAACTCTAAAAAGATGTGACGTTTCCCAAGGTTACTAGATATTGTGATTTACTTATAAAACCATGGTTAACAAATCATAACCAAGTTCCAAGACAGATCATCTTCATCTAGTGCTAGGTCAGCATTCAAAAATTTTCCATCCCAGTTTGATCTATTTAGAAGTAAACCAGATCCCAAGAGCTTGACAATATTGGAGACACCTCCAGCTTTTCTCAAGATACAATTATTTCTGGATCTCTTATTACAGAAGCAATATCAAATGTATTCATCCTAAAAATAAATCATCCCCTTAAAACAGTATTGTTCAGAACTGTGATTAAAAAATAGGAACTTTTTTTCTTTTTAATAAGCTACTGAAAGAGCTTATTACTTAGATTTATGCTCTTTTGGTAAGGCTAACCAAATGCTCTCTTTTGCTCAGAATTTAAAATGTCCCAAGATTGTGGAGCAAGATAGGACAGAGAATCCAAATGATCCTCAGAAAAGAAGCAATGTAATTAAGATATTAAATTGGGAGGAAAAAAAATCCCTTCAGATTTTTTCCCTTTCTAGAATTTTACCAAACATTCTTTCCTATGTTAGCAGAATGATTGCTCAAAGTTATAAAGGAAATTATTACATGTAGGAAGTGTGAGAGAAGAAAAGATAGCAACATCCACAGTCATACAGAAGGAAAACTTGTACAAGAGTTTTCTGAAAGCTCTACACTTCTATTTCTATCATTACTTATCTCTGACCAAGTTGGTGAAAGCTGATGACACTTTCAGTCTTCTGAGAACATCACGTGACCTTCCCTTGGCCTAACTCAAGGGACTCATGTAATTTTCTTTCTCTTCTTAGTTATGATTAAATCTGTAGTAGCCCTCCCAAGTGGTTGCCCTCCAGATGTGTTTGAAAGCTGCCAACTACCAGAAAGCTGTCATGAATATTCATAACTGGATCCCACCAGATTGGGGAAGACAAAGCTGTATGATTTTGGGGTTAATAGGTTTGAGAGGGACCTGGGATTATACATATTTCCACTCATCATTGGAAAATTGAATTGTAATAATTCATGTTGATATAATATTACTGTAATATCATAGAAAAGCAATGGAAGTAAAACAAATTAAAAATGTCAATTGCATTGTATTATATATAATACATTAACCTTTTTCTTTTTCATGATTCATAGTGGCTGCTTTTTCCCATTTTGCCCTTTCATTTTCTCTGGTTTTATTGTTTTTTCTTTATTATTTTTTAGCATATCATTTTATTTTTTGGTATATAGATTTTTGAAGCTTAAATGAAATAAAATGAATTATTTTTGTTCTTGTTATTACTTGCATCTTATATTGTTTCAGAAATCAAAGTAACCAGTTGATACCATAAAACTATTTGTCAGTCTATCTGTTTGTCCAACCATCCATCTGTCCATCTGGTACAAATCCAGAAGATCACTAGGTGGCAGCAAGGAATTAGTGTTTTTGTAGTAGTTAGCTGCTGTCTAGAAAACACCTGGATGTTTGCAGCTTGGATACAATGAGAGAAAGCTGTAATTCTTTTTGCAGCAAAAATGGCAATAGAGTATTGGATAGAGGGGAATATTAATTAAAAGCATTTGAGGATAGAGGAAAATTAACATGCAATTCTTAGTACCAAGGTCCCAGTTAAATTGGGGAAAGAAGTTAAGAAGTTTGCATTTCATTTTTTAAAAAATAGCCCCAATCTTCATTGTCATTGAGGGAAATACAGAAAGCCGGACCCCTTTGCTATGTACTTGTTGGGGGAGAGAATCATAGGTTTGATCTTCCCATCAAGCTAAATGAAAATGGTTGGGGAAAAAGGTATAAAAAAGTTGGCCCAGGGCTAGGAACATGGGATGAAGTCGACAAGAGAAACAAAACACAAACATGGCTTCAACCAGCTGACCTCTCTTTCCACAGGATGCCCAGCGGAGGATTGGGCAGCTTGAACAAGAAAATAAATCCTTGTCTATACGTCTAGCTAATATATATCACGGTTCAGGTATGGTTGATTGCTGGAACGAGTACCAACAAAAGAGGTGAGCAGGGGTGACCTAGCAATGTTTTAATGCAGCAGCCACCATTGCAGCATTTAAGCTACCTATCAAGCAGGGCTCATATTCTGGCATAAGGTTTTGTTGGAAAGCAGTTCTCCTGGGTGCCTGAAGAACCTAGGGGCATCTGGGAGAGGAGGGGTGTCAAAAAAGTCAAGAGGGCAGCTGCACCTACACAACTGAAGCCCTACCCCTTTTTAATAGCATTATGACAAATGCAAAAACAAAAACAAAAAAAAAGATGTTCCGATTGCACAATTGCAGTTTCCATCTTGACCATTCCTTCACATTGACCCCATCATGCTGAGGCTGGAAACCTTTCACCTTTCATGGGTTGGGGAAAGAGCTGTAGTAGCAGGGTAATAAGAGACAACCTGTGGCACCATGCCAAACAATTTCATTACAGCAGTATTTCTCAACCTTGGCAACTTTTAAGATAAATGGACTTCAACTTCCAGAATTCTCCAGCTGGCGTGGCCTGGGGAATTCTGGGAGCTGAAGTCCATCATCTTAAAGTTATCTAAGTTGAAAAATTCTGCATTACAGGGATTAGACAAATTGGTTTAGCTTTTTAATTGGATTATGCTACAATATTCATATGTTCTTCCTAAAAATGAAAGAACTATTTTGGGCTGCTAATTTTCATCCATCAAAATTCACCAGTAGAGGGAAGCCTTTTGGTCACTTCCATAGAAGATCAGCACCACACTAGTCTGATAATGCTGTGTTTCCTCTTTAATCATACAACATTGCTCTTATCTTACCCTCTGTCCAAGACTGAAGCAGTCTTATACTGATCCTTTCTGTATTGCAAAACACCCTTTTTCTGCTTAATTTGACACAAAGCCATGATGTGTAAATTTTATTCCACTTCTCCACTGCACATTTCACAGGCAAGTGTTTGGGTGACCAGGCCTGCTTGAGCAATCATTGCTAAATCCCAGCAGAAATGCTTCTATTGTAGGAGAGCACATGGCAAATACATCATTCAGCACCATTGTAAGTTCAAATGTTACTGAGTGAGTGGTTGTTAAGTGAGAACTCTTCAGAAGGGCCAGGACACACTGCAGCACCAAAGCACTAAGAAAAGCAGAAGAAAAACGGCTGCTTGACATCGTTCTCCATAATGGCTACCCCCAAAACTTTGTATTCCAACATACATCACCCAAACCACCACACAGCTGATCGCCAGGCAAAAATGAACCCTACCATACGCAAAAGGGGTGTCAGAAATGACAGCCAGACATGGATCCTGCAACTATGTCTCGCATTTATGAGAACTATGAATCCAAGTGCTGGAGGTGTGGACAACAAGATGCAACTTTTTTTCATATGTGGTGGACTTGCAAGGTTATTAAGGCCTTCTGGATAAAATTATGGTGGAATTTACAGCAAGTTTTTAAAAGAAGAATTTTTTTTTTGCCTCAGTTGTTTCTCCTAGGTATTACACATAATTTGGATGTAAAAGAAACGAATTTGATGTTGTATTGTTTAACTGCTGCCCGTTTATTGATAGCTCAAAACTGGAAGAGTAAAGTTTTACCTACAATAGAGGACTGGAGATTGAAGGTTTCGCATCTTGCTGAAATGGCAAAGATTTCGGCTTATTTGAAGGATCATTCAAATGAACAATTTTTATCAATATGGAGAAGATGGATTGTTTATATTCAAAATAAGCATAGAATGGTGGAATATAAGTTAGGTTTTT